TCAGACATTTCCGCGTTAGAAAGTAAAGCTTTTTCAGATATTTCTTCCTTAGATAGTAAAGTTTCTTCCTTAGAAGAAAAGGTGTCTTTTGACCGACTTGGAAAACAAAATGTCTTCTATGGAAAATAAATTTTCGTCTAATATTTCTTCCTTGAGGAGAAAATAATGTCTTCCGCCAAGGATGGTGAAATAAAGTGTCATGAGGTGGAGTCGAAGTTAAAATTGGAAGGTGCTGTAAACTCGTGTTAAAGCCCCAATTTTCGACGGAAAGATGTCATGGACCAATTATCTTAAACAGTACGAGACAGCTGCGAGAGCAAACGAATGGTCTGAGAGAGAAAAGGCAGTGAATCTGACAATCGCCCTTCGAGGAGACGCTTTAGATCTCCTTCAGACTGTACCCGTGGACGAGACAGATGATTTTGAGAAACTCAAAAAGAGACTAAATATGCGATATGGCCCCGAACATTTGGAGCATCTATACCAATCACAGTTAAAGAATCGCAAACAGAAACAAGACGAGACCATTCAAGAATATAAAGTAGATATTACCAGGTTGGTGCGATTTGCCTACCCATCAGCTCCGGAAAACATGATGGAATGTTTGGCAGTCCAAACATTTGTTGATGGACCACGAGATGCAGAAAACACTTCGCTTAGCCCGACACAAAACATTGGTCGATGTCTTGTCTACTGCTCTAGAGTATGAGGCAGCTACGCAGGCTTCTGGAGGATACAGTAAAGTGAGGACTATAAAAGAAAAAAAAAACGTAGAAGATAAACTCGACCAACTAGTAAACATAATTAAGAGCTTCACTGATAAAAAGATGAAGACAAATCCCATCAGGTGCTGGAATTGCGGTGAACTGGGACATCTACGCAGTTCATGCAAATGAAAACAACACGCCGTAGGAAAACTAGAGCGGATCGGCTTAGAGGGGGCAGGTTCGACCCGAAACCGTTCCAAAGACCCTCTCATACTGATAGCCTCTTTGAAATGTCGCAATGATAGTGTATACGTAGACGGCGAAGTAAATGGTAAAAAGTATACACTTTTGGTAGACACTGGAGCAACTAGGACCATTATACGACCAACAACCATAAATAACCTTAAGAAACTTCTACCAACAAGATTGCGACTGCGGACTACCACAGGTGAAAGTGCCAACATACATGGGGAAATCCAGGTTCAGTTAGGAATTGGTACAGAAAAGTTCACTCATACTGTTATTGTCGCTGATATCGAAGAAAATGTTATTCTTAGAATGGATGTAATGAACTTACATGGTTTCCAGTTAGATTTTAAGAACAGAGCTATCAAAGTTGGAGCCCGAGAGGTATTCCTACATCCATATGGGGACAGTACCGTGTCAGTTGCTGTACAGGAATATACGGTGGTACCTGGCAAAAGTGAAACCATTATAGTAGCACGACTTCAAGAAACTATGGAAGAAGGAACACCTGTCATGATGGAACCTTGGAACCACGATGAAGATGTTGGACGTGGTATTCTGATTGGAAAGGGGTTGGTCACGACTGCTATAGAAATTCCAGTCCGTTTCATAAACGTTAATGATCACCCAATTACCATCAAGAAAGAGACCAGAATCGGAACTTGTGTACCAGTAACTCCCATAGTTCGTCAAACAACTTCTGATAATTCAAAATTAAATGGTGCTCATTTTCGCTATTTTTATTAGTCAATCGTAATTTAATAATTATTGTGGATCAATGGATTTCATACATCGAAGGCTGGATAAAAATAGGCTTTTCCAAAAAAATGTATTGATAACACTAAAGTTCGTCAATAGCTACTAAACAAAAATTAAAAAAAAAAAATCGGTCCACAAACAGAAGAGAAAATGGTACTGAACTATTTTGTATTTGCTTATTTATATATAGATTCTGAAAACTTTATGAACATTTATATTAGTACGGCTCTGTACTGTGTTTATTCTAACTTATGAACTGTTGATTTTGAGATTTTCTTTTTTATTCACATCATCCCTACTAGGGCAATTGCGCTTGGAATACGACACCATTGTTCATTTAATGTTTTTGATCACAAATAGTTTAAATAAAAGTATGTAATTAATATAAAAAGATTAAACAATACATCACAAAATAAACTGTCACAAGTGAAGGAAGTGTAACAACAATAAGGCGGACTTGGTGACATTTTTGGCCACGTAATTGCACCTCCTTCCCGTTTTCTACCTTCTGTAGAAGCACATGATTAACAACCGACGGACACAGATAACATCCTGACTGTGTGAAATTTAAAAAATTGATAAAGGTTGTATAAAATATCGCTTGCATATTCTGCTAAATTTAAACAATGTTAATAATTACGGTAAATTATTTATTAAAAATAATACTAGAATTACATTATATTATCGATTAATTATTATAAATCTATTCAGGACAAATATTTTTGTTTTGTTTTTAGTAATATTTTTGTTTTTATTTTCTAATCAAGTGGCCCAATTGTTTCTCATTTTGAAATATATTATTAAAAATATGCTTTCTGAGAACATAAATAAAGGGATGAAATACTACTAACATTAATAATATGGCTGAGGGAACCTCAACAGGTGCTATAGCTATTTTCAGAACTATTCTTGTATAAGCCTTTTGAAACTGATCAGATGCGAATTGTTGACTGCAAACTCAGTAATATAAAAATGTTGATATTTTTATTCCTGTATTTTAATCTTCTTTCCCAATGTTTTGAAGCCATTTTCTTGCTCTAAAACAATAAATAATAATAAATAAACACTTTGTGGCAAAAGTTGGTTACTGTTTGTTACTTACAGGGCTAGATCTTTCTATGGTAAATTGAAGAACGCCACAATGGGGTTGTTATAATGCAATTCGTGGACCGAATTCCACATAAAAACAACCACAACCACTTCGCTTAAGCTCTACTTACCATATAAATCATTCATAAACCAAACATGTATAATATAAATTCAAATTCAGAATTCTATGATAAACATAAACCTATTGACATTTATTTTTACAAATTATCTACGTCTACTGGTTGTCTACAACAAATAACAGACATGCCGACGACGTGTACCTTTAGTTAACATCTGAGATGCATAGATGACGCGACCGTTCCTACGGTCGTTGCGTTTCCTATCTTTATGTCCCTTATCTCTGATTCATATTTTTCTTTGGGTCAGTGTGGGTACAATTTTGTAAACCCTATCTTTCGCAGAATATTCAAGCAATATACACATCCTAGGCTTACATTTCACATAATATCCTGTCTTCTAAAACATTTGCCTTCAAAAATACATTATTAACGAATTAATAAATTAAGAAAACTAATACACTTCTATAAATGCAAAAATTGTATTTTGTATTAGGAGTTGTTAGAAACTTCGCCAATCGGTTGCAGCCACCTTATAACAAACATTGGAATTTTAAATCTATCCTTTATAGCCCCTCATCTATATGACTGCTAAAACTGGCACGTAGTGTTATTTGCTTGCTCTTTGTAGTTGGATACAGGGGAGGTGGAGCTGTCGTGTAACCTGCCAAATTAAAAATAATATTTTTTTATCGTTGAATTTTTTTGTCTTTTGCTGGCAATGAAATAATTTGCTTCTAGACGTCTATAACAATAAAAAAATCCCTTTGTCGTCTGGTTTTGCTACTTTCGGTGTAAGTGTAGGAATTTCCCTACATAGCAAAATTTGACGACAGAAAATGCTTGCAAAGGGATTTTTTTATTGTTATAGACGTATAAAAGAAAATTATTTCATTGCCAGCAAAAAACGAAAACAATTCATACTTAGTACATACTTAGTACATGTTGGTCCTCCCCTACTAACAATACCAACCCTGTACCCAAGTACAAATGGCAAGGAAAAAACAAGACCTATCACTTTTTGCAGTCAGATGAGGGATTATTACTTTGGTCGATCCATTGAGATAGTATAAAGAGGAGATTCTATGACGATGCTAAAGTGTTCGCACCTTTGCATTAGACTTTATGTCTTGTCAAACTTGAGATAGTGGAGCTAGTCAGTTTTGGTGAGAACAAATCTCAGAGTAAGTAATTATCTAAGGAACAAATGCCATTTTTTTTTAATAGCTTCATAAAAAATGGTATAAAACACATACTTTGATTACTATACGGGGCAAGAGAGAGGTCCGACACGCCCAACATAGGGCGCGGCCATTTTGAACCCTATGACACAGTTTATAGCTAAAGAATCAGATCGCTCACTCTGCGTCGGCACTTTTTATCTCAATGTTCCAGTTTGTAATACACTGCGCAACTCAGATAATACAATATATGACAACCGCATATAATAAAACAGCAGTTTTCTGCGTATCCTGAATTTGTATCCCTGGAGTGGATGTTATTTTGGAACTTTCAACTGGTCCGAGTGAGCTAACTGATTCTTTAGCAATAAACTGTGACTCCAAAAATAATATTCACTGACACTGACAGCAGCAAGCAAAATATCAGGTGCGTTTTAATCATCCGCTTCTGCTTCCGGAATTGTCGGTCCAGTCGTTCTAACCTGTCAGATTAAAACAAGAAAACCGACAATTCCGAAGCAGAAGCGGATGATTAAAACGCACCTATTAAAAATATTGGCGCCAAGATGTAGGCAACACGTAATAAGGGTTCAAAATGGCGGAGTTTTCTATCTCCTTTTAAAAGGCACTCAGAAAGCTGCGCAGTGCGACCATTCTCCGTATAGTAAAAGAAAATCAAAGTATGTGGTATAAAATCATTTTAATTACACTTTTACGTCACTCGAAGTGCGTCCATCTGTCATATCGCAAAATAGTGTTTATGTCGTCTCTACTTTATTCTATCTCGATGGGTCGACCTCACGGTTCCGAACCCTGGGTTGACCTAGATTAACCCTTTATTCGTTTGTTTTTGAATCCAAAGCTGTCAAATAATGTCATGTCATTCAGAGAGCCATCAGTAATAATAGCTAACCCAAAAATGTTCTTTTTTAGGTTAAATTATGCCACGCAAAGACAAATTCGAGAACAACGGGTCTGCAAATCGCCGGACGCACACTTACATGTCCCCGGAGGACCAGGCGAGCGGGAAAAAGTCCTACTGGACAGAGTTGGAGATAACAGGGACTATTCGAAATCTAAGCTCCAACCTGTTCCAGTTAACGCATCTCACTGCGTTGTATATAAAGAACAATCAGTTGTTGAGACTGCCACCAGACATTTGTAATTTAGTGAATTTAAGGCATCTCGACTTGAGCAACAATAAGTTACGATCACTGCCGGCTGAGCTGGGAGAGCTCATACACCTCAGGTAAGTTTACTTAACAGTAAAAAGTTAAATAGTACATTCCGTTCCGGTGAAGAATCCAGATGTACGAATTTCGAAGTTTTATCACTAGATTATTGAAGTAACTAACTTTTTTTTAAAATATTTTGACAAAAATTAGATACGGAAAAGTATGTTTCATTTGCAATTTTAATTTATATTATTAAAATGCAATTATTTTCATTGTTTAACTTAACTTTTAACATAATTTTCTGCAACAAAACGTAAACTCATGTCTTTGTTGACAAGCGGTTCATTGATTTGCAAAGTTGCCATATTGAATCCAATTTAATTTTGTTTACTGTAGTAGTTGATGTACACAATGGTAGATGTCATTATTTAAAAATTGTGTTTTGAATATAAATGGAAAAATAAGAGAAAATGGATTACGGAATAGTGCCCGATTTTTTTTTTTTTGAAAAATGACTCGAAAAACATTGCTCGAAAATATATTTGCACAAAAAAATTTTTACTCAAAAATACATTGGCACGAAAAAACATTTATTTTGCACTAAATATCATTTCATCCAAAACATATTTGCACGAATGAGCGCTAGATCAAAAGGTCTACATCACGAAGCTTACTCGTACATAGATATCGTACATATCCCATTGACACAAAATCGCAAAAACATTGCGTATATTATTGTTTTTTGTTTCTATTGCTCTGTGGTCTACATCTGTGTCAGAGTTGGTTTAGAAAATTTTTAATGACTCCAGGCCACAGAGGTTAGGTAAATTAGATGTTTTTTACTTTTCCTATTTTAAGTATAATGTTTCTGCGAAGCAACTCGCGATCTCTCCAGGTCGCGTAGGTTAGTCAATTAAAATAGATACTAGTTGCTTTTTAATGTTTAAAAAATTTGTGCGAAATTCCTGTATCTGGATTCTCCACCGGAACCGTAAAAAAGAACAAATCATCAATTATTCGATTACATTTGTTCTTTTTTTACATTTATAATTTCCCGATGATGGCCGAACTAAAAGCGCCTGATGAATACAACACAACGCGATTACTAATAACATTTACACACTTGAAAAATGAAAACATACCTTCCTTCGTTTCATTTCTTTATTCACAAAAAATGGTATAAAGCCTATATAGGCGATTTTAAATCAGATACTATGTCTTGAATATGATTGATTACACTGATATAAATCAAAAACAATGACGTCATATTGAATATTTTCTTGAAATAGTCAAGTTTAACATGACTACAGTAAAAACATGGTCATCACAGGTATGAAATGTCAAATGAAATGACAAATGTAAAACTTTTACTTTTTAATTATTAAATCATTGTTTGGTTGTGTTATTTGTAAAATAGAAAGAAAGATTTACGAAAGGGAAAAGTGGGACAATGGTGACGATAGGGTATCAGGTTAAAAAACAGGTATTTTTATAAAATAAGCTCCTTTTTTTGTAGAGATCTAAAAAAAGGTCCTCCGCTTATATTTATTTAAACCATCAGATTACTTTTTCTGAACTTCTCAAAAACAGGTCAAACATTGTCAAAAATATCATTATATGTATATAACTTTGAATTTAAAAAACGTAGCAATAAGGTAAAATGCGGAGCATTTTTGTACTTTGGCGTAACGCGTGCCAGCATTTAAGGTTTCTGCAAATGAAAAGCCAATTTATTTTCAAGGTAGGATTTATTAATGAACATGGCTAAAGTTTTGATAAACAATCAGAGGCCAAAGTAACTATAATACCAATTTTCTCTTCATCCATGATCAGTAAACAAAACAAATATTAATTTTTTATCCCTACAAATTCAAAAACAAATCCTACTACTATTACATAACACACAAACAAAAATTCATGATACCTGCCAATGTTATACCCATTGTGAATTTAGTGTCAATATAAACCAAACATTTTTAAATCAGATTATTAGAACGTCATTATAATGACGTAAGAACCTTGACCACACTTGACTTGGTCACATTTCTAGTAACTGATTTAAAATCGCCTTATAAGAGCAATGCATAGCGTTCTGCTTTTGACGTCGTATCATTTGGCAATTTGACATCAGTACATCACATTCATCTCTAAGATCAACAATAACTAGACCGAATTCATGACACATGAAAATAAAGATGTCAACAAAGATGAAAGAAAGCATTACTAAACTAACAACAATAAGTATTTACAAAATGACTAAAGGGTTAATAGAGAGTTATTGCAAGTTCACTTAAGATCAGTCACTATTAATGCCGCTCTTATTTTGACATCTGAGCATGCGCAGATCACTAACTTTAATAAAGATTGTGCCTGTCCTTAATAGAGAGATATTGCAAATTTATATAAAGCCAGCCACTAATAGTGACATCGTAATTAGAGTCAAATAAATTCTATAATAGTACCTAATATTAAAGAGGCATTAGAAATTTTAATTTTAGAAGGTTTAAATGACGAGCGCATCCGAAAGCTATAAAGTCGCCACTACCTGCTGCCCTTAAACATCCACAATTAAGGACAGGCACAATCCTTAATAAAGTCAGTTTTACAACATAAACATCTGCGCATGCTTAGATGTCAAAATAAGAGCGGCACTAATAGTGACTGACCCTAAGTGAACTTGCAATAACTCTCTTATTATGGACAGGCACAATCTTTAATAAAGTTAGTGATCTACGCATGCTCAGATGTCAAAATAAGAGCGGCACTAATAGTGACTGACCTTAAGTGAACTTGCAATAACTCTCTAATAAATAAAATACAATGTAAACATTTGTTCGTAAATATATATTTTCCACCACAGTTTCTCCCCGTGGTGTTCCTTCTTTTTCACAATTTATAAGAACAAGTAAAATAATTAATATTTTTATATTTTTGAATACCACCTTCAGCCAGATCTAGTCTTCGACAATAATTAATCAGATAGATGAAGCATACAGATTCAGCTTAAATTTTTCTTGGGTATTGCTGATTAATAGGAGGGACTGCGATATCTTTAAAAAGAACGAGCACGCCCTAAATCCCACTCTATTTGTGTGTCGGAGTCGGCGGATGAGATAGGTCGGCCTCACGGTATTGTAAACGCCTTATTTTCTTTCGCTCTCTTATGCTCGCTTCATATGAATATTCTTATTTTTGTTGCTACTTATAGATTATCACTATACCCAAGAAAAATTTTAGCCATATCTGTATATTTATCTGTCAAACGATTGGCCAATCAGCTAAATAACCAGATCTTGCTGTTGGAACACAAAACATTCTATGCTCTGTCTATCTCTTTAATGGTCAAAAGGGAACATTATTTACTAACGACCTTTAGTTGTATATTCTCAATAGAAGAGATTACTTTTTTAACCGACTTCAAAAAAGGTTATCAATTCGTCGCGATATTTTTATTTTTTAAATGTACGTTCAGCGATTATTCTTTAACACGGTGTCCAATTTTAATGATTCTTTTTTTGTTAGAAAGGGGGCACTTCAGGGGTGGTCCCATATAAATATGGTCAAAATCTAATAATTGGGTCCATGAGAAAATCCTCAAACTCTTCATTTTTTATGTATGTTTAGCGATAATGCTTTACCACCTTGTCCGATTTATATGATTCTTTTTTTGTTAGTAAGGGGGTACCTCAGGGGTGGTCCCATATAAATTTGGTTAAGATGTGGTGATGGCATCTGCACGTTTTTGAAGTCGGTTTTTTTAAATTTTTAATTTCTAATACTTGTTAGTGGATCAATCGTTTAGACATTCTTGAAATATTAAATATTCACTTTTCTTCAAGCGTATATTGGTAGATTGATTTAGAGTAGGAGAAGCGTTCCCATCGTTTGAAATTCAAATGCTTTCACGCACATGCTCAGATTAATAGATTAATATAACGTTAGTCTTCGTCGCTCTCAAAGCGTTTCTTGTATTTTAACGACTTCTGGTAGATTTTTTAAAACTACGTACATTTTGGTGGCATTTGTCTTGATTTTATATGGGATTTGAGCGAAGTTCCTATAATATAATATACAACATAAAATAATAATGTCATTCATCGTGGTTTTAATAGTTATTTATGTATCAAGGACGTAAAACAGGCGTTTATGGACCGCAACGTGTAAATAAGAGCCGGAGCCGCTAGGTAAGAGCTATTAACACGTAAGGTCCAAATACCAAAATACCTACATTCAAAATTTTATGTACGACCGTTTTAATGATCGTTTATTAATAAATCACTATTATTTTCTCTTTTTCGCCTTTTGTAAGCAGGTTATTGTAAAAGAAATTTATAAGGTATTCCGCGGTCGATAAAGGGGCACTTTACGCCCGCTAAACGTATTTATAATCTGGGCTTTATCGCCCGGTCGTGCATAAAATCGCAGCAACTGTCAAAATGATTTACTTTACGCAACCAGTTACATAATGGTAACTGGTTACTAAAAATTCATTTTGTCATCAGTTGCGAAAATAAAAATAAACTTTTTTTGTTTTAAAATCAATATACTCATTATTATTGAAAGTTTATTTCAAAGAAGAGTTAGCAGGTTGACTTATAAAAATAGAATTTGGTTAAACTTACAACCTAGTAATAATGTTGTTTTGGTCCTTGTTTTCCATTCTAAATCAACACAGAATAATTAAAACAATACACGATAAAATAACCCACTTCTTTGAAAACTAAATAACTTTGTTAATAAAATGATGCATATGCAACTAACAATACGAGAAGGTAATATTGGTTGTTTAGACGCCAGTAATGTTTTACCAAAACACAATTTTATAAATAATCTAGTCAAAATTTAAAGAAATATTGTATGTAACACATTCGTAACTGGTTGCATAAATAGCTATTAAACCAAAGAGATCAGGCGAATATGGTTCAACTTTCAAAGTACACTTGTTTACAATCTTAATGCCAGTTCTATTTAAAATAAAGCGGCATACAATTAATGTCAAAGGAATCATAAAAAACAACGCCTCTGGCTGTTAAAAAATAAATCAAAGTATGTGTCATAAAAACTTACAAACATC